AAATCTCCTTCCAGAAACTGTCACTGTTAATCTGGATAATCCACTGAACACAGAATCAGTTTGTTTAATGGAAGGTAGATCCAGTGAAAACTGTTCACAGTGAGAACAAGGAGACTTATTCTGGAAGGAGATGTTGCTGTTTAATTTTTTTTATCTACCGTCATTGTTGTATGAACCATAAACAATTCATTCTATTGACACGGTATTGGGATTAGAGCATGGATCAGGCCACATATTTCTGTCCGAACCCGACCTGTGCCCAACACAACTGGGTTTGTATGGTGTTTTTCCATGCTCTCTCCATGCCAAGAAATGTAGCCTATGTAAGAAATTAAGTTGTTTTATTAAATTTGGTGAACATATCTACTTTTGTGTCCCAGTTCTATACTAAATACCAACTGCACACATTAAGTACTATACTTATTGTCACAGTACACTGTCCTTGCAGTTAGTATACAAAAGACAAACTTCACCTTTGCATAAAGATCTTTAGCTTCAGCTGAATGAAGCCAATCGGAGTGACCAGTTACTGCAAACAACACAAAATGACAAGTCTTGTGCCAACACATGTCAATCAATCTACTAATGTTGTATTGTCACAGCTAATTAAATGTCACAAGGTAAAGCAAAAATATTTTCTGAAGAGTTTATTTAATGCGTTTTATGGTGTGTTAGTGAGGCTGTTTCCCCACCATTTTTGCACTAAATACACTAAACATCAGTCATCTTTAGTGTGTCTTCCAACAATTTTGAGTACACTTAAATTTTGTTATTTCTCTAATTTGTTCTTAGTACATACTCAAAATGGGATTACAATATGAAATTGGGACAAAATTCTCTTTTAAAGCAGTTGGTTTTATATTGGAACAGTTTCGATAAAAGTGCAAAAACATTCCTCTCCAGCCTCTCCCTGCTTCTATAAGTGGTAGTGACAATAATGAACCACTAGGTGGCGATATATCAATAACAATAGGAGCGAGGTGCCATTGACAAACTGTAACACAACCTGGTGGATAGGAATCTGAGATTCAGGTTCACTGATCACAGAAAGTTGGAATATTAAAAGAAACGCCCTACATTTACTAATTATCAGAAGGTCATTATTACGTACAGTGTTGGAGATACAGGCCAACTGAAACAGCTTTGAGGAGCATACAATCTGATGTTCAGACAGATGCTACTGCAGACTTGGTGCACATAAAAGCAAGTGTTTGACTAGTTGCCAGCATCATCTCTACTATCACACAATACTGAGAGGAGCAACTCATCATCACTGCTCTAAAGCTGAGGCCAGAGCAGAGCTTTGATCTGTCTGGGTTTTTTTGGTGTCTGTGAACACAACCATTTGATCACTATCTCACAATGTCCACACAGGGACGTCCACACACAGTCCCTTCACACATTAGCTTACCAAGGAGGAAGGAATTATTCAACACTCAACATTCATTTGAGGGGTGCATATATTAAAATACATTTGTGTGGAAGCATCCTTTAATGAAGCCCTTAGTGTTTGGTGCTACACCTGAATGAGTTTCTCAAAAGTCAAATACACACCCTTACCATGGCTTTAATGTTGTCAGGTTTTTTTCTTTTACAGGGACTTTTTGTTTTACATTTGCACATTTGGCTCATTATCTAAATGAATAAAAAGTACAAAGATAAATGTCAGGAACATTAAGCGTATAAAAGATTAAGTCTGATCAGAAAAGTTTCAAATTCACCCTAATCTTCATAGCTTAGCATGTTGGGAACTTGTTTTTGATCAGAGTATGAGGAAAAAATCAAAATGACTATGTTTTAGCATTAAGTGGAATTGGAGCAGAGGCTCTATGGAGAATGTGAAGTTGTCATCATGCAGTGTTGAATGTCGGGTAAATGCACCATATCGGAAGGATCATGCTCATTATCTATCATAGAGCTATACAATACATCCATTTGCATGTTAATTAAAAATAAATACTATCACATACAGCTATATATCGAGTAGCGGATACTTCAACTATGTACAAACATCCACTTTGGTGTTGAGTTGGAGCATAGACAAGACAAAAATTGATTTATCTGTTTGTTTGTGTTATCTGCCAACAGTCATTTTTCAGTTTGTTGATCTTGTTGACGGGAACTCTGGGTCCGCTACAAGTTTGCTACAGTCAGCTAAGGTTATCCGTTTTGAACTGCCACAGTCAGTAAAGTGAGATCTAAACAATTTAAGCAACTGTTTAGCCAAACAAAACAAAATGTATGCAGATAAATACAGTGCGCCAGCACCAAAATGGCACCCCTGTGCCAACATGACATGACGTTAGCTTAGCATGAAGGCTGGAAGCAGGGGGAAACAGCTAGCGTATCCTAGTTTGAGTCAAACACAGTATGGCCACTTTTATTTTTCCTGACTTTAAAATGAAACTGGACCAGAAAACTGAGAGAAACAAATCCACACAGCACAAACACGTGTATATGCACACAATCAACACACACAGTCACACCTACAGGCACACAGATAGCCTCAGTAAACATAAACGTGTGTCAGTTGCTGTGTGTGACCTTGCTCTGACATGATGAATGACCAAATCAGAAACGTAATGAAACACCACACATTTGCTGCTGCTTCCCTATGTACGTGCGTGTGTGTGTGTGTGATTGTGTTTGTGTGAGCGCCCAGGACCTCAATCACACTCACAGGTGACCTGATGTCTCATTGAGCCTCCTAAGTTTGACAAGAGCAGATGATTACCAGTGACCCCCCACCTTGTAAAATCAACCAAGGAGAGAAAGCGAGTGCTGAGAAAGAGGAGAAATTACCTTGAAACTTCAACTATATTTAGGTCGCCTTCTCCTCACACCTCCTCACTTTTCTCTCTCTATGTCAACTTTTAACCCCCTCATCACTCTTCTTGACCTGCTTTTATTCCTCCTCCCTTTCTCTGAACCTGGGGAACAGTAATCACTAGCTGACTGACACTCACTTGATTTAACTTAGCCACAAACCCATGAACATACCCAACACTTTTAAGACATTATACATACATGCTTGTGACACATACACACACAACAATATTACTCACAAAATAGCAACACATTATCAGTGGTATTTAGGCTGAGCTGATTCCTCACATGCAGCATATAATAAGGTTTAACTGAGTAAAATGTTTGACCCTAGGAGGGTCCTTAAACATATACACATGACTGTGCTCACCAGAGGAATGACCCCTGTTTACATTGTCGACCTACTTGACAAATAACCCTTTGTGTCTGTGCAAAGAGCAACAGGAGGATGAAAATCTATAACGGTAGAGAGCAACAGGAGGATGAAAATCTATAAGGGTCAGGTATAGGTCAGGGTTAGAAGTCCTCTGATTTAGAGCAGGCTCTCCTTAGACGTAGAAAAATCTATTTACAAAATGAGAGACCTGATCTGAAAGGGACCTGAGCACAGTCAGAGCTGACCTGATTAGCCCAGAGAATAGGAAGAGTGCACAAAAGTCATCAAAACTAATTACAAAAATACCGTTTATATGCTTCAAGGAAAGTCCTAATTTCCCTCCCTGCACCAACATTAAAACTTTCTGTAGCAAACAGGGCAGCAGACAGACAGCAGGCAATCACTGTCTAATCACTTGAACTGCATAAATCTTTTACATGGTGTACTGATATTTTAAATATTTTCTCCTCAAGTGATAATGATGTACCAGGTGATCAGGGCTGATTCCGAGTACACTCGAATCCATTTGGATGTACTTAAAATGTATTAAACACCCACACCGAAGATCCAAAGCAGTAAAATAACCCAATCAAATTAGACTGAGTACATTTTGGAACAACTTGTCTTGGGTCCTGAGCTGGAACTTGGGGCTTGTGCATGGATTTATTACTGAACGGGCCTCCCGGGCCCAGAGGCCCAAAGGTCATGGGGCCCCTATAATAGAAAACCATGAAGGGCCTGTTAACCTTTCTGCTGGACAATCAATCAATTGTCTAAGAAATGATTACATAAAGCCACAAAATGAGAAAAATAGATGCAAAGACACTATAAAAGATGCATAAAATGATTAAAAACAACAAAGACATGAGAATATGCAAAATGACTACAAAAAGGTGCAAAAACCAACACAAAATGGCCAGGAACAGACAAAACAACTACAACAAGGCAAACTGACTGCACGGACTTGCTCTGATACAAGTGTAAGAGAAGCAGGGGCCTCTACCTGTCTGTGCCCAGGGGCCCATTGTCTTATATTACGTCCATGTAAGGGACGTTAGTGTGAATTTAAAATGACCCCGTTCATAATTCATTTTGGGTTTCCGCATTTTGGTCCTCTGAACAGAGAGAGGTATCTACCTACGAGAGATTTTAATGAAGGGCAGAAACCTTGAGAAGTTTCACTGTGCTGTGCACCACGGGAGCCTGGCTTAGCATTTATGGATATTTAAAATTATACATTTGAGTAAAGTAAGCTGTCAGTAACAAAAGGAAAATTTAAAAAATAATTTTCTGGCAGAATAAAAGTGTAAAATCTCTGTCAGCTACGCGTTATGGTTAAAGTTTCACAATATCAACAAACCAAACCCTGTGTCTTTTGCATCACACACACAAAAATATGCAGACATGTAAACTGTACACATGCACACACATTTATGCACACCCATGCATACAATCTTTGTCTCCTGAGACCTAATATTAATACCTGGCAGGCTCCAAAATGCCATCTACTCTCAAACAAGGTGCACAAAGACCCAATTTATTTATAGATCTTCTCATGTCTTTCTGCACTCAATCTATTTTTGTGTTCAAAGTATGTTTTTAAAGGAGCAGGATGGATGGAGATGTAAATAAGGACAGACAGCCTGACTGACTGCTGGGTTAGGAGTGTGGGCTAGCAGCCAGAGACATCAGCCAGTGAAGTCCTGGGGAGCTGGTATTTTAACCCTCACTTGGGGTAAAATGTCTCTTAGGATGATTCTTCCAATTCTGACAGACGGCTGCGATCAAAGAGTTGTACTGGGTGATGAAAATACCACAAATGTAGGCTAATCACAAATCTGCATTCTGCTGTGATGGCTGCTTTCTAATAGGAGCTGATGGTGTTTATTTACTCTCCCTCCTCTTGTCTACTTCCCTCGTCTTCTCGTTCTCACTCTCTGTCCTTAGTATTCACCTCCACAGTCACTCACACATTAGTCCAATATCCAGAGCCGTTTACTCACTGAGTGATGCTTGTTTAGACGTCTATCCACAGTGTGCACACACACACACACACACACACACACACACACACACACACACACACACAATCAGTAACATCACTGTGTACCTGGAATACTAAATCTATTGTCTTTTTACTAAAGGGTTGAAATGTTTGTGCTACACATTTACATCTTAATTTATTCATGTTCATAATATTTTGTGAATAAAGTGATAAAAATTAAGACAAATTGATGTTGCCTCACTTTAGGAATGATAAATGACTACATCAGAAGCCAAAAGGCAAACAACAAGGATTTAAAGCAGCTGTATTAAATATCTTATGTTAACCACAGGGAAAGGCTGTGTGCGATACCAGGCTTGTTAGCAGCAAAGCCACACACAAAAAAACTTTACACACCCTGAAATAAAATAATAAAAAAAAAGATTGAAGATGCAACTGATTAACTGAATAATTTCCATAAATTATCTACTCCTGGGTGGGGACATCACTACTACACAGTGGTATTCCCCCCCTTCCCCCAGTTGTGGATGTTATGCGTAGAGCCTCACGTGTTCCTGGCAGGAGCTGCACATATAGTGGACACTTTCATACTGTATCATCACACAGTACTGGTTCTCAGAAATCCAAATCTCAGATAGATAGCCATATATAATGTGCAACTCTGACAACACACAAAAATGTAGAGTTATTCTTTTCCTGTCAGTCAGCAAGCTTTCCCCAGTAAACGTAATTTTGTTACACACTGAATCAGCCTGTGAGTTAATCTGTGGATCCGATCGGGCTGCTGGCCAGAGAACATATGTTCTCCACTGGCTGCTTTGTACGCTGTCCAGCTGCTGGTGAAGAGACTGTCTTTGAAACATCTGCCAGCTCCATTCATCAAAGGTATCGCTGTATCTACTACACACATCCCACACAGATATAGATGCCTCAGTCACATGTGTTACATCACAAACACTCTATTTTAACACTCGTCTGTATTTATAGCGCTGTGTTAAAAGGCCTGTCACCTGATTAAGCAGCCTGGTGTGAAAAAAAGACACAGCTTTTATTAGGAGTGATGGAAAACCTGCAAAAGACAGCAGTATTTAAAACTATGAAACGCCTGTCCGACAAAGTGAGAGAAAGAGAGGGGGGAGCAAAGTGAAATTGTTTGTCTCTCCTCCACAAAATTACTGTCATGAGTCAGCCATGAAGAGAGGAAAGAAGTGAGAGGCAATCAGACGGTTTTCTCTCTCTCTCTCACACACTCAGCATTACTCACTGCTTTCTCCTCCTGGTGCACAGACAAGCACTTATGCATGTCAACATGATTTCAGTCAACATTGCTTAAAAACTATGTGGTTTCTTTCTGTAGAACGAAAGCAGTGAAGATTATGATGGATTGATTTTTTTTCCTCGCAGGCAGATGATTGCTTTCACAATGAGCGCTTTGATCCGTGAATGAGACCGGTGGTTTACAATACTGAGACACACATTTGTATGGGTGTAGCACTTCCAAGTTGATTATCACATTTGCTTTGTTTCTTTAGTTTTACTGGATAGTGTGACAATACTCGAAGATAAATGTGGTGTCTAAGCTTTTTGATGTTATGGCAGATCACTTTCTTTATTGATGATCTGTTGATTATCAAATAAATGTCAGGTAAAAGTGATATATAATATTATGGCTGGCTGAAGTGCAGCATTTCTTTATGTCATGTATGTGTTGTCAAATTGGTGAATGGGTTTCTTGATTTGCCAGTGTTTTTTTATGTATTTACTGTTTTTTTTCTAAATGCAATGTGCTGGTTGTCTTCATTTACTTGATTTCCTAATTTGCAGAAAACATTCCCATAACAAGTGTAACAAGTTTTGGGATGTTTTGTCTGACAAAATTTACAACTGTTAAAAAAAATAAAAGCCAATTCCTGAATGTGAAACAAAACCACTTGTCTGGGCTTTTTGCTTGATAAATGAGTTAACAATTAATTGGTTATTGAATTTGTTGGCTGTGAAACTGAGTAAAGGGTGCTACATCATCTGCAAAGTTGGAAGACTTATGAGGGATCCCACACTTTCCATAAAGCATACCTGACAGCTTGTTTCATTAAGTTGTGTTCAGACATAATGTGAAGAAAATATAAGTGGCCCATTGCACAGAAATTCTGTGGTTCAGTGCAGCTGTCTCCCAACAGGGTCGGAGGTTCGAATCTCGGTCCCTGCAGTCCACATGTCAAAGTGTCCTTGGGCAAGACACTGAACCCCCAAGTTGCCCCCGATGGTTATGCCATTGGTGTGAGTTGGCGCCACAGATGGCTACCTCTGTTCTGTACTGTGTGGACTTCTTATTCCTCACACTCCGCTAACTAAGCTGAAGATGCATCCACATTCTTGGGGCTTTGTGAATTCACGAACTTACAGAGATTCACGGGAAAGGGAAAGTAACAGAAAGAACTGGATTTCAGCTGCTGCGAGAGAATGAACTGCCGCCCACTCTCCACACACAAGGTCTCTTCATACATTGCTAGCTAGCCATAGCTCTTCACAGCCTCGCTGGAGCAAACAGATTATGTGAAACAGCCCACAGAGATAACTGATGAGTTATTTTCTCAGACTTTAGGACTTCCCCTCAGGGCTCTCTTGTAAGAGAGGTTCTTAACCTCAGTGGGATTTTTTTCCCTGGTTAAATCAAGGCTAAATAAAAATATAAAAGCTGAAATTCATGTGTAAAATTGATGCATTCTCTTTTACTCAAGCAACTGTTTCAGTACTACTGATTGAAATACAAAGTTTACTTTGTTATAGACTGTGAGGTTTGTGTTAAAATAATGTCTGCTGGCTTACTGAGAATTTCTGCACACTGATAAACTGTGGTCACAATCCCGGGGTCCTGGGGGGAAGAACAATACTATTAATGGAATTCTTCTTGGACCTGTTGATAGTAAAAGGAAAGAGAAAAGGGCAGAGATAGGGAATGAAACAGCAGAGCAATTTAGTGAGGTGATTTATGGAAAAATAGGCAGGATGTGTGACAGGATAAAGGTGAATAATACAGGGAAAATGGGAGCAAAAGTGGGCTGGGACTAGAGGAGGGGTTGAGCTGAAGTGAGCGAGAGGGGAGGAGAAGAAGGGAGCCAGGCTAAATCCTCAGCCTGTTATTATCAGGACTCACATGCAGCCCCTCCCATGATGGAGTGAGAGCAGATAGAGAGAGATAAAGAAACGATGGAGTTAAAGAGGGAATGGAAAGCAGGATTACTGGTGTGACAGCACCGGCAGATGAGAGGCAGCGCAGCCGTGAGGGAGAGAGAGAAACTCTGGTGGAAACAAACAAATCAGTGCAACAGGATGAGGACCTGCTAGTGCACAGGCGGCCTGACTCTGCAAACCTGCCATCTGTCCTGCTTTTCTTTCCGTGTTCCTGGTGCTCTCACCATCATCCAACATCTGGATCACCTCGCATCCATATGGGAAGAGGCTGAGGGGCGGGCCAAAAAATCCAAATCTCATCCTCTCTTCATCATTCTGATTGCACAAGACCTGAGGCACATCATCACTGAGGGGAACCCTTGCTGAGGAGTACCATCACCACACTGGCTGATAACTGCACCAAAGGAAAGCCAAACTTTTTCTCCAAAGATGCAGAGGCGTGCACAGGAGCCTTCCTTATCTGCCTGTGAGATTTTTTAACTTCTCATGGATTATTCACGTCTTGTGCCCCCGAGCAGGGAGAGGGAAAAGGAGACAGAGGAGGTGGAGAGGGGGAGAAAGAAGGAGACGGCAGGGATGTGTCACCACCACTGCTGCTGAAGTGTTGCTGGCATTTGTGCTCCTCCGCTTAGAGGCATTTTATCACTCTTCCTCCCCCCAGTTCGCTCGTCTCCTCATCCAACCAGTGGGGAGCTTGAGGGATACAGACAGAGAACTAAACACCGTGGGTGTATGTGCACATGCACACACACACACACACACACAGGCTGTGTAGAGGGCTAACGCATCTCTCGTCTTCTATCACCCTCACTTTCCTTCCCCGTCCCGTTTTGTAGTCCTGTCTACACCTTCGTGACCACTTGCAAATGCTTTCTCAGTGACACGCACAAAAAAAGAGAAGTGAGAGAAGGGTGAAAAAAGTGAGAAGACAGAGCGAGAGATTTTTGGAGATCACGTACGCTTGCTGTCACGTTGTGAAGTCCTCCAGGGGAGTGTGCAGACATCCAAAGCTGCCAAACACACACACACAGACTCACTGATAACTCTCACACACTCACTCTCACACAGAGACTTGGTCTAAATGTGTACTCCTACAGGTGCTGAGAGGGGAGAGAGACAGGTGGGAACCAGGTGAGAAGGAAAGAAACAGAAATAGGGGGAAACACATTTGCAGGGGATTAACCGGGGCGCGATGGAGCAGCAGGAGTTCAAGATGGATGGCAGCACTAAGCACAGGTAAGCGCTACTCTCACACACACTTCCCCATACTTTTATTCTGTCACTTAATCTGATCCACTGTCAGGAGTTTACAGCTCATATGTTAGTGGGAAGGGCCGACACGAAGCATTAGAGAGATACTGAGTAAAAAGACACTAGAATAAGCAGCTCAGGGGGCGTTTGAGTATAAACACAGACGAGTGGAGCCATACTTTCATCATTATTTATAAGTGAAGTGCTTCCTCGAGAGAAAGCGCCAATCTGCTGTTGACACAAACACAACAGCCAGTTGTTACTATAACAGGAACTACAGTAACCGAACATATTAGCTTTTTTTACTTTGACGTTTGGGGGTTAGCTGCTGGAGTGTGTGTGTGTATACACACAATCCCTTCATACTGTGTGCACAAAGGCTTATTCAATATGACTCATTTACTTACAGATTATGGATGCTACAGTTGCAATGCTTCACTCTCTTATCATTTATCTGATAATGCTCATTGATTCGTCCCACAAACTGTGAGCTGCAGCTTTTGTTTGTCTCTGTTACAGTGACATAGCTTTTTGCTCCGGTGTTCATAAATCATGTTGCAACACCACAATCCACAGTTTCTTCTACAGTTCACAGTAGCACAAATCGGTGGTTCCCAACCTGGGGGTTGAGGCCCCCAAAGGGTCCCAAGTCAAATTTAAGGGGTCTCAAGATAATTAAGAGCATAAGAGTAGAAAAAACATTTATCTTGCACAAAATATTAATTTTTATGGCTTTGCGAAATTTAGCTTTTCTGTTAAATGTTGGGCACTTTCATTTCAAGCTTCAGAAAATAATTTGAGGCTACTATTATTGTGGCATGTTGTTGACTGGTGGTTCCCAACATGCGGTGCGGGGACCTAAAGAGGCCACAGATTATAGTACACTGGGATACCACAAAAAAAAAAAACTCTCAAAAAATGTATTTAGCTGATTTCATCTAATTTAATTTTGTTTGTTAGGCTAATTTTAGCTCTTTAAGCTTCAGATTAAACAAACTGAAAAAAAGGAGCTGTTCATGACACATGTCCACACTACAGAGTTGCAAGAAGACATTGAGTGAAACGGTCACAAGCCAAAAATAGTGGGAAGCACTGACACAGACAATCTGGAATATGTGTATAAATGTGCACATAAATGTATGCATGGATCATTTTATGTATGTTATGCCAAGTGTGTCAACATCTGTTTTAAGCAGGTGTGGCAGGAGAGTCAGTGTCACTGAGATTTTGAATATCTTACTTTTGAGTGGCAGGGGGGCCCAAACTGATCTAGAAATGCCCCCATCACGTTAGCATCACTCATCTCGCCCAATACATCCTGCCGGCAATGATTTCCTGTAAAGCTGTCAAATCTTTATGTGTGAGAGCAACAACTCACAGACAGATGGGGTTGCAATGTTGGCAGTTAAAATCCTTAATTGTGATAAATTTATGTGTCAGGTTATATGATATTTTTCACAATAAGCTCAGGGGTTAAAGATGACACTCATTAATCCATAATGTGAGTTTAATTTGTATGTAGAAGCTTTATTAGCTGTGTGTGTGAGGGCTGATGCATACCTCCATATGTGAGCATGAGGTTAAGAGCTGCACGTGCAACACTCACAAATCAACTTCTTCACATCATCAGTATGGAGGCAGAGGGATGGAGGGATGAAAGGTGGAAGGACAGTGGAGCTGGTTGATGCTGACAGAGTGGCTACACAGTGTGTTTACAGTCATAACCTGCAATGTAAACGATTGAATAATGACTTCAGGAAGGGTGACGGGATTGCTTCCGTGACTGGAAGCTCATTAATCCAAAGTGTGATTAAAGTCAGGACCTTTGCTCCTGATATGAACTGAAATTCTAAACAATTGATTTTGAATTTGTGCATCGTGTCCACAAGCTTTTCATAGAGCACACTCCTATTTCATGCATCTATTTTTCATATGTTAATGAAAGAATGTTGAAAATACAAACTAACCAATATGGTGTAGTCTGATAATCAGGCTTGCCATTCAGGTTTGACTTCAGTGTTTATATAACTGGAAAAAAAATAAAATAAATCACAGCTGTGGATGGCAACTCAGAGGACTGGAAGCAAAGTTCTTAGAGACCTACCAGGAGAAAAAAAAGTCAATTCAGTCCAGTGTTAAAGGTTCAAGCCGGTGTTACACTTTATTGTTTAACAAATTGAATGAAAACACAAACCAATTGCTTTATCCCAAATATTTATCCACATTTTTCTGGCCACTGGGAGGCAGCAGAAACAAGCTGCAAACCGAACACTGACACTTGTGATTATTCTCTGTTATACTTAGGGTAATAAAAACACAGTCTATCCAAATAGACTGCAAGTGATGCATTAATAATTATAATCTAATAATATTGCAATGTATAAAATTACAGACCATTCTGCATAATGAGCATTTTTATTTTTGCCACTTTATGTTCAGGACATCTTCCTACTCATGTTTTTATACTTTTACTAATTTTACAAAAATTTGACGTGGTTTGTAACAAAGTATTTCTACACTGTGTGCAAGTAAAAGATCTGAGTACTTCTTCCACCCAAGACATCACAGCTAAGCACATTCTTCCTCTTGAAGTGTGTAAAATCATGTATTAATTAGTCATTTACAGTATCCGTTAAAGTACCAGTATGAGGGAATTATGAAACTATTGCTGCAGAATAAATTTTCACTGTGGGATTTTTTTTGGATTGATCTCAGGTCTGCATAAATGAGGCTCTAGAGAATCTTGATGTTTCATGCAGCTGTCAGAGCATCGTGCCTGCAGTATGTTGATGAGGAACATCTATTACATTAATACCAGGGCACTAGTTCAAGTCCCCTAATTAATGCAATCAAATTTGTTTAAAATGTGCTGTGAAAAAACTAAGCTCAAGCCAAGCATGTTGATAATTCTCTGATGATGATGCTCACCCTATAATCTACATCCTCCCCACCCTCTGGGAATTCAGTATGGGACGCCTTCGTGTCCTGGCTAAGCACTTAAATGACTGTGTCCTACTGCATACATACTGTTAAGTATCAGCTGAGCATGTGGTCCAACAGGTTTTCTCATAATGTTTCATAAAATATTGTTTATTCTAGGCATATATGGCAGAGTGTAGCAGTTGTACTGCATGAGCACGAATCAGTGTCCTTTTATAGCCCTTTTTTTTTAGAGGAAAATGCTTCAAAGAATCAAATTAAATGTTTTTTAGAAAGCCCCTGAGTGCAACATGTAAAAATGTTTAACTAACACAGGAATTTGGATTATTTCATGTCCAACTCCAAGTAGTGGCTCTTGAACACCTATCATAGGCTGCATGAGCAGAGCCTTGTTATACATGAATGTACCAGCACAGTGTCTTCAAAGGTTGAACTCTGTTAATCACAGTGCATTAAGATTTATTACCAACTTAAAACCATTAACCCACTGAGCTCTGTGCTCCAGAGGAGGCTGGTCATCTCTCTATGTGCCGTTTGAGTCACATTTATTCTTCTTTATAAAGCCATTGTAGACAAACTTGCTCCTTACCTTTGCAAACTTTTTCACAGATCTCATCTTCCGCCTGTAATCTCAGATCACATGAGTCTGGACTGAGATGGGATAGAAAACCTTCATGTTTTTTGTTCCAGCCACTTTGAATAGTTCATTCATTCATTCATTCATTCAGTCATTTTCTACCGCTTGTCCCTGAACGGGGTCACGGGGGGGGGGCGG